TTGTGGGGTTTCTTTCCTGTGTGGATTGCCTGATGTCTAACAAGGTCAGACCTTTGTATGAAACTTTTCCCACAGTCCAAGCACTTATGGGGTCTCTCCCCTGTGTGGCTTAACTGATGTCTAATTATTTGTGTCTTCGAAATGAAACATTTCCCGCACTCGAGGGATTGACAGGTTTTCTCTCCAGTGTGGCATCTCCCATGGTTATTAAGACCTGTGAGCTTATTGAAGCTTTCCCCATGGTCCAAGCATTGAAGGGGTTTCTCTCTACTATGGATCGTCTGAACTGTCACAGGCTGTGATCTCACAATGAATCCTTTCCCACACTGAAGGTAGTGCCAGGGTGTCTCTTCCTTGGGATTTGTCTGCCGTGCTCTGGGATCCTCCTCTCTTCCCTCATCATTAATAGATTCATCCACTTTTTTCCCTGGGTGGTTTCCCAGAAGCCTCTGTGACCTGTGCCAACTTCCCCAGGCTTCTGCCTCCTCCAAGCACTGGGAAATATTCCCTTCAGCTCTTCCCACAAAGGTCCCCTGCGGTTCCACTTCCCCGGGAACTTCCTCATGATGATTCCCCTCCTCATTCTCACACCCTCTCTCAGCATCTGCTGGGAGAGACACAATCCGGACAGGAGTCATTGTGCTGGGGAGAAAGAGGAATAGCACAAAGGGAAAACCCAACCCAAAGACTGAGCAATTGGACTCCGCCTCCACATCCCACCCAATCACTCACAGGGAAGGAAAGCTGGGAAGCAAACTCCTGCAGATAAGAGGCTGGGTGGAATGGTGTGAGCGATATCTGATGACTGCAGCCCTGTCCTGGCTGAGATTAGGAAGAACTGAGGGCGCTTACTCACACCATATTTGGGGATTCTCAGCTTTTTCCTTCATTTTCTAGATGGTTTCTGTGTCAGTCCTCACCTGTATGGGTGCATCTCGGAAGCCTTCTTCCCTTGCAGGGCTGGAGATCGGACACCCACGGCTCTTCCCCTCGTTCCAGCCGGGCGATCAGCTCAGGTTTGGGAAAGGGGAATCCTGTGCAGAGGGTGGAATCAGACCAGATCAGGGTGCGTGGAGCATTGGTGGAGTATTTGTCAGAAAGGACATTCCGTGAGTGGAACCTGTCCCTGTGCTCTGCTGGAGGAACGTGGAATCCAAGAGGGCGGGAAAATGGTCACTGAGCCCGCTTGCGCAAAGGAAGTTGTCTGGAGAGGTGAGCTGAATTATTATTACACCCTCACTAGGCGTTCCCAAGATGTGTGCGCTCTGGGGGCCTTGCTGACTCACACACAGCTCTGGACTTAAACCCCTGCCTCTTTCTAAAGCTGCAGAGCCCAGAGGCTTCCCCATGGCTGGAGCTATTCCCAAGGAGGAAGGTGAACAGGGATTGTGTGTGCAGCCAAGAAACAACACAGACAGAACAGTGCTGGATTTATGCCCCTTTGAAAGCTGGAGGGGTGGGGATGGATTAGCTTGTCCATTGGGTTTTGACACCCATGTCACACTGGAGACGGCACAGAAATGCAAATCTCTCTCACACGGCAGCTGTGCATTATGGAACTCACTCGCCTCTGATCTAACTGACTTGGGAAGAACCTGACCAGATTCAGACACGCAGAACCCACGGCTTCTAGTATCTGAGGGTATGGGAATCCCTTACCCAAAGAGGTCACCATCTCGTAGTTCTCCTGCATGACATCCCTGTAGAGGGCTCTCTGAGTGGGGTCCAGCAGAGCCCCCTGCCTCTGGGTGAAATACACAGCCACCTCCTCGAAGGTCACCGGCATCTGGAACACCAAAAGCCCCCATTCATTACCTGCTGCTCCAGCCACAATCCCACTAGTCACACGGGAAGAAGGATAAAGAAATGGAAGCTCTGGGAGCGCCAGAGTAGCAGAATCCCACCCCCACCCTGCTCAGAGCAGCCAGGAGGCTTCAGGCGGTGGGGAGAAGGTGAGAGCTCCTTGTCCCCCCCAGCACATGGTGCAGGGCAGGGTCTTCTCATTTCCCACACACCTGCCAGCCACAGGCTGATACTGGAAGCAGAGCTCTGAGCCGGGGACAGGGACAGGAATCCCAACACTTCCCTTCATATTTCACAGCAGCCTCAGGCTAGTGGGGTCTCACTCCAGCACTGGGAGCCTTGAAAATGTTCCCAGCCCTGTGCAAGGGGGTTATATCCTGTTTGAGAAATGGGAGAATGTCCCATCTCCCCTCCCCCGTCACCAATGGGCCCGCTCAGAAATTCAGCAGGTTTATCACACCTTGTCTCCTCTCTGCCCCTGCCCAGGAGCTCCCTGAAAATCCCCTACCAGAGCTGGCTCCATCACAGACATTTCCCTTCCCTGTCTCCTGGAAGAAGGGCCCATCTGGAGCGAAATGTGGACGTGATTCTTCAGCCTGTCGGGGCGATTGGGAAGGTTACAGAAGGGGCTTCAGTCCATGTCATACCCCGATTCCCCCCAGACTCTTCAGACTCTCCCAGTAACAGTATCTCTGATCCAAATGCTTGGAAAAAAGCAGATCTAAAGGGGCCACTTTGGGGGATTTCCCCACACTGCCGTGTAAACCCCTCTCCCTTAGGAACAGCAGGAGCCCTCTGGTGGCATCACCTAAAGAATGAGCTGCCCTGGACTCCTGCAGCAGCCCCCAGGGACAGGCAGGCAGAGGCTGATCCCATTGGCCCATCCACACTCCCTGCCTGCCCAAAGCAGCAGTGACTCTGGTGTGACTGAGATGTGAATCCTGCCCAGAAATCAGACCAGGGCCCTGGGCGACCACAAAACTCATGAGAGACAGACCCCACCAGCACGGGTGTGTCTGAGAATAACACACTGGGAGCTGGGTCTGAGTGTGGGGGCTGGGTTTTTGCCTCTGTCCCAGTCTCCCCACTCCCCCGCTTTCCTCGCAGTACCCCCACTCACACCTTCCCCCATTCCAGCCTCGCTCCCCTCAGCCCC